GGCCGGGCGGCGCCGCGCCGCTCCGGCGACCCCGCGGGCTCTAGCACCGCCGGATTTAGAATCGCGGGCTTTAGAATCAGCCCATGTGGGTGAGATCTGTCTGCCTGTCTGACACCCGGGCCTGCAGTTTCTCTTTGCCTATGGAATTTCAGACAGCGCTGGGAACAGGTCCGGCCGCATATTTTGAGTGAGCGCGTTGTCCCTGTGTACTTAAAAAGGAAAGAAAGAGGAAAAGAAAGAAAAGACAAATTCTGATATTAACAGGAGCAGTTTCCTGACACAGGCCTCCTTCATCAGCTCCATCTGGCTTGAGCTAGCAAATGATGGTCTCGGAGAACCTCTTGCAAATAGAATTCTTTTCCACATGTTTTAGAACTTAGAAGCCTTAACTAGTTTCTTAACTCTAAACAGTTTAAACAATTTAATATTGTTTTTAAATTAGGACACAAAGAGTACATAGCCTTTTCAGTCGTCTTGGCAGTCTTCTTTTTATTCTGTTCTTGCCAACTTTTTAGAAGAAAGGGGTCAAAGTGGAGGGAAAAGTTTTATTCAGAGTTTGACACCACTAGGTGTAAATGCTCCGCATGTTGGTACTGGTGAGGGCAGGCAGACAGGCAACACAAATTGCTGGAAGTGCTTGGACCTTGACAGCCATCAGGTTTGGATTTTTATACCCAGGAGAAGGGTAGCGAGTACAGATGGTTTGCATTTTCACTCATTGCCTGTGGGTCCTTTCCATGGCCCTAAAAAAGGCAGGTTCATTATTATGACTATAGAAAAACACATTACTTAATCCTACAATTTAAACAAACAAAAATGGCCTTGCTTTTCAATTTGAAATGCATAGGTCATGTCAGCAGCAAAGTCTGTGCCTTGAAAGACTCTTGTGTTTCCTTTTCTAAATGTTTGGTTTAGGCAGAAGTAACATTTACTGAATGCCACATGACCCACTGTTTGTAATATAGGTTTGGCCTTTCCTTCTCCTCTGCATCTTTTTGTATACACACAAATACAAAACAAGGTATTCTCTGGATACCTTGACTTCTGCTTTTGTCCAAAAGAACTCAAAGTGGAGAAAACTTTGGTCAGGACAGAAGTTGGCTTTGGTTTTAAATGAGAAGGCACAAAATAGAGTTGTATGGTGTCCTCTGACAGTGCCCTTGCATCCATGCTGCTGGAGTTAATCATTTAGCCTCCCCTGTGCGCCAGCTTCCCAAGCAAGGAAAGTGATCTTGTGAAGGTAGTTAGGTCTTGGGGTGCATTAGGACAACAGTTAGAAAGGCCTCGCGGTATTCAGAGAGCAATAAAGGTGAGAGAACGTAAGTCCCATGCTAACTGGATCTGCACTGACTTGTCCCGTTATTCTAAGTCTTTTAGCTTTATGTGCCTCACACTTTATTTGAAAATGCTTTCAAGTCTTTTTAATGCATTCCTTAAAAACAAAAAAAAAATACTTAGTAAAGACTTACCAAGTGTTTGACCCTTTAAATTCATTATCTCAGTGCATTCTTTTAACAATGTATGAGTTAATTGCTGTATTTCCATTTTTACTCCCTAGGGATACAGAAGTTTTGAGAGATTCATAAATTTACTTACCCAGCTGTTACGGTGTAGAGCCAGATTAGAACATAAGTCTTTCAACTCTTAAATCATACCAGCTTCCACAATGTTAGCTACACAATGTTACCAGCTACACAAATGTTAGTGTTTGTCTTTATGCGTATTACTTGACATTATAATGCTCTCATCATTCTCTGTCTTCCTCTAGGAAAAACAGACGATTTTCTAAATGGAGACCACAAGGAACAGAAAGATCCTTATTTTGTGGAGACCCCCTATGGTTATCAGCTAGACTTAGATTTCCTCAAATACGTGGATGACATACAGAAAGGAAACACCATTAAGAAGTTGAATATCCAGAAGAAGAGGAAACCATCTGCGCCATGCTCAGAAACCAGAGCCACAGCTGGCCAGCAAGGTGTGTGGACTTCCACTGAATCCCTCGCATCCTCCAACAGCGATGACAAGCAGTGCCCCAGTTTCCTCCTAGCCAGAAGCCAAGTTACATCAACTCCAATCCAAAGGCCACTTGCCCCTCGGGAGATCTCACCTACTTTTCTTACTATCCCAGAAAGTCGCCAGCTACCACCACCCTCACCCCAACTCCCAAAGCACAACCCTCATGTCATCAAGACACTGATGGAAACCCGGAGAAGGCTGGAACAGGAGAGAGTCACCATGCAGATGACACCGTGTGAGTTCCGAAGGCCCAGACTGGCCAGTTTTGGAGGCATGGGCTCCACGAGCTCTCTCTCCTCCTTTATGAGTTCTGGAAACCAAAATCCTGTCATGCATCAGCTCCAGAATGGATACCAAGGCAACGGGGATTACAGTGGCTATGCCCCAGCTGCTGCCACCACTTCCTCCATGGGCAGCTCCATCCGCCACAGTCCCCTGAGCTCAGGAATCTCCACTCCAGTGACCAACGTGAGCCCCATGCACCTGCAGCACATCCGTGAGCAGATGGCTATTGCCCTGAAACGACTGAAGGAGCTTGAGGAGCAGGTGCGGACCATCCCTGTGCTCCAGGTAAAGATCTCTGTCTTGCAAGAAGAAAAAAGGCAGTTGGCTTCACAGTTGAAAAACCAAAGGGCTACATCCCAGAACGATGTCTGTGGTGTGAGGAAACGGTCTTATAGTGCTGGGAATGCATCCCAGCTGGAACAGCTCTCCAGGGTCCGGAGAAGTGGTGGAGAGTTATACATTGACTATGAGGAAGAAGAGATGGAGAGTGTAGAGCAGAGTACACAGAGGATAAAGGAGTTCCGGCAGCTCACAGCAGACATGCAGGCCCTGGAGCAGAAGATCCAAGACAGCAGCTATGAGGCTGCCCCAGAACTCAGGGAGAACGGGGAATGCCAGCCTCCAGGGTGTCGATCTGTGGCCGTGGGTAGTGATGAGGCCATGGAAGACATTGTTGTGTACCACAGGGCTTCCAAGTCCTGTAAGGATGCTGCTGTGGGAACAGTCACTGAGACAAGGAATTCTGGGGTCAGTGTGACAGAGGCCATGCTTGGAGTGACTACGGAAGCTGACAAAGAAATTGAACTGCAACAGCAAACCATAGAAGCCTTAAAAGAAAAAATCTATCGCCTAGAAGTACAGCTTAAAGAAACTACCCATGACCGTGAGATGACTAAACTCAAACAAGAGCTGCAGGCTGCTGGATCCAGGAAAAAAATTGACAAAGCCATCATGGCCCAGCCACTTGTTTTCAGCAAAATGGTGGAGGCAGTGGTGCACACTAGGGACCAGATGGCAGGCAATCATGTGGATATGGCTGACATATGTGTTGGGACCTCCGTGCAAACAAATAGCATAGGCATCTCCTGCCGGCCAGATTGTCATCATAAAGTTGTGGGACCCGAACTGCCTATGAGTTGGTGGATTGTTAAGGAAAGGGTAGAAATGCGTGACCGATGTACTGGGAGGTCTGTGGAGACATGTGACAAGCATGTGGGTGTGGAAATAAGTGTCTGCGAAACAGGCAGCAACACGGAGGAGTCTGTGAACGACCTCACACTCCTTAAGACCAACCTCAATCTCAAAGAAGTGCGATCAATTGGTTCTGGAGATTGTTCTGTGGATGTAACGGTCTGCTCTCCAAAAGAGTGCATCTCCCGGAGCATGAACACAGAGGCTGCTGGCCAGCTAGAAGCTGCTGTCATGGCCATACCTCATACCAAGAGCCAGCACACCAATACAGTTTTGGAACAGGTGAGTCAGTTCACCAACACTGAGACGGCCACCCTAGTAGAGTCCTGCACCAACACTTCCCTAAACACTTCAGACAAGCAGACCACCACCCAGACTGTGGAGATGCGAACAGTGGCTATAGGAGAAGGTCGAGTCAAGGACGTTAACTCCTCTGTCAAAACTCGGTCCATTGGGGTTGGAACTGTGCTCTCGGGCAATTCCGACTTTGACAGGCCATCAGCTGTGAAGACCAAAGAGTCAAGTGTGGGGCAGATCAATATTAACGACAACTATCTGGTTGGTCTCAAGATGAGGACCATAGGGTGTGGACCTCCGCAGTTAACTGTGGGGCTGACGGCCAGCAGGAGGAGCGTAGGTGTTGGAGATGAGCCTGTAGGAGAATTGTTGGAGAGCCCCCAGCCACAACCCCCTTCTGGAATGATGGCAGGCTTGGATCACTACATTGAACGTGTCCAGAAGCTTCTTGCAGAACAGCAAACACTGCTAGCTGAGAACTATAGTGAACTGGCAGAAGCATTTGGGGAACCTCACTCACAGATTGGCTCCCTCAACTCACAGCTCATCAGCACCCTATCATCCATCAACTCAGTCATGAAATCTGCAAGCACTGAAGAGCTGAGGAACCCTGACTTCCAGAAAATGAATCTGGGTAAATTCACAGGTAGGTGGCCTCTTGAGAGACCTGGGGGTGGGGAAGAATGGGAGGTACAGATTCTAAACTACACTTTTTGGAACTGTGGAGAAAACAAAACTGAGAATGGAAATCTATAAGCAGCTCTGATGATGCCTTTTAGTAGCTTTTTTAGCCTCTGGCTGAGGTGTGAGGCTAGAAGAAGGAAAAGTAAACTAGTGTTGGCTACCCTAGAGGCTGTTGGTTTAATACAGTGCTTTATTCTTTGCTTTCCAGTTATTTGCACATTTTTAAACAGGGTGACCTGAAAAAATTCCTACACTGTTTGAAACCACAGTAACCTGAATATTAAGATTTTAAAATACTAATATAAGATGTTTTGAATTGAAACTTTTATGAGAGAAGAGAGACTTCACTCATTAATTCAGCAAATAGTGAATTAATCAACATTGAATTCCCTCTCTGTTTCAAGCCTTAGATACAGGCTAGTGAACAAGGGTAGGTTAGTGAACAAAACCAAGCATAGTCTCAATCCTCATGGTGATTACATTCCAGTTGGGGCACAGACAATAAACAGTACACCTAGGACATGTCAGATGTGATACATTCAGTGACGAAAATGGTGGTTTGTGGTGGTCCAGGGTGTGGAGATGTGGTGATACAGGAGGGTATCTTTGATGAGGGCTCCTGAGCAAGAATTCCAAAAGAAAGGGAGCCCTTCTTCACTGTCCATTTTGATGTGTGCTTATATTTTTCTTTCTTTTTATTCATTGGGATTTCTACTCACCCCTTATTTTGTTTATATTTATATTATCCTGGGAGACTTTATGACATGCTATTTCCCTGTTGGCCTGCTAAAATTTACCTTTTTATCAGTTGCCTATGTCTCTAACCATTCATAATGTCATCCATGTATTGGGTCCCATCATGCCTGACTCTCTTACTTTCATGAACCAGTGTAACCTGGAGAAGCTTCCCTTATTCACACTTCATTTGTAAAGTGAGAATGAGAAGGGCTCCCATCCTGTGAGGCTGCAGTGTGTTCACCACTCGCATGCAGTGAACAGAGTACCCTTTGTTGTCCTGGTGGTGGTATTAGTAGCTTGTTGAGTATAGTGTCTTTTGTTAACCTGCTAAACTGGAGATTGAGATTTGGGAAGCTACTAATATAATACTCTCCTCTCTAACCATATGTTCCATGTAAAATGAATGTAAATGGCCCAAATTATTTGAATTTCACTTTATGTGAATGTACAATAATCTTAACTATAAGATTTCAGACTCTTCCTCTTTCTCTTTATAACCTTAAAAGGCAGTGATTAAAATTGACTGAAATAGATTATTTTTATGCCTCCCTAGGTTGTAATAACTGTGCTGTGGGACAGATAGTTTATTGTAGAAGAAAAAATAAATGTGATAGTGACAGCTGATGTGTGGGGTTTTACTTTTAGAATCAAGGAAATCTAATAAATGTACAGGGGAGTCATTTGGTATGTGGACCAAAGCAGAGTCTTAAGAAACTAGTAAGTCTTTTTTCCATTACTTTTTAAAAGTCATGATGTCAGATGTTGCAGTCAAAATAAAGCTCTTTTAAATGCCTTCAGACACAGATGGCACAGAGGATCATTATAAAAGCTTTTTTCCTGCCAGCCTTTCCCTGTCTTCCCCAAATTGGGCTTTTTATTTCACATTCTTGCCAAAAATATTCAGCTGTAACATTGGAGTAATCTGCCTGACACTCTGAGCATGGAGACAGGGGAGAAAGTTTTGTCTGGCTGGGTTAGAGTGGTTTTTGGTCTGTTTCCAGTTATGCTGACATTCCACACATCACTGTTTAGATCTGACCCTGCAAATGGACACCTAATTAATCAGCTAAATGCAGGAGACCTACAGCATTCATGAACAAAAGTATAAATATTTTTAATAGCACTTATGTGGTCAAAGTGACAGCTTCTCTCAGAACATGCAAGAACACCTTCTAAGTATTTCTGTAATTCACATCACATCTGTATTTTAAGCATTTTCCTCCAGAGTTCTAATGCAGAAGGAATTAGGGTAAGAACTCAGCCCTATACACTAAAATTTTGTTATCTGATGTTGTTATATGGGCAGAGAATTAAAACTATAAACTGTGAGGAGTGAAAGTGAGTCAGAATATACTGTGGATTACTGTGTACTGCCTAACAATACTGCCTAACAATATACCATATTGTTCACATAGAGTCTAGAGTACATTTCTGTACTAAAAGACATAACTAGAGTATAGGAAAGAATTCCACTTCAAACTCTCTTCCCCAAATAATATAATAAGGAATTTGGGTTTCACTAGAAAGAACATATAAATGATCATTTATGTGAACCCTCTGTTTTTATTTTAAAGAAATTGTTAAAATTGGATGCTTAAGTCAGATATCTGGATTCAGATTCTTACTCTGCCACTAGGACAAGTTGTCTTTGTTTCCTCACAGGGTTGAAATGAAGATTTAGTGACTTTAATATGAATAAAGAATTTGAAATAGTCTGTAGCAGAGAGTATAAACACTCAATAAATCATAGCCATCATTGCTATGGTTGTTTTTAGTACTTCCAAAAATGGAAATGAAGGTGGAAAAAAAATTGCCAAACAAAAATTGTACAAATGATCTTTTGTTTTTAATTCAGAATTTGAATTAAGTAATTCTAACTGGCTGTCACTTCTTTCTCCTCAATTATTTCACCTTTCCAACGTTTCTATAAAGATAGAGAAATATACATATAAAAAAGAGAAAGCAAAGTAGGTAGAATACATTTTTAGAGTCATTCAGAGTCCATCAAAGCTCAGAAGAAAGTCTAGATTGAATTAAGTTAATTTGTGCCCAGTCTAGAGAATTCCCTTCAGTTTCCCTAGAGTTGAAGGTTTGATGGTATCATTTTTCTGCACTTGATCTTAGCAAAAGGGTGAGAAGCAACGGTATCATTTTCTGTAAGCGAAAGAGAATCATTTTAACAGCATCATAATGCCTGCCTCTCTCATTCACTTTCTTTGTAACTGGAGTTACATGTTTGTAACTGGAATTTGTAACTGGAGTTATATGTTCGTAACAAGTGAAAAATTCATACCACAAGTTGTGAAAACTTCCCTCACACAAATTTGAATTCTGCCTGTAAACTTTTCACATAAAATGGCAAACATTTTTCCAGATTTAAAGACAAACATCACAGTTTGATACCGGTAGAATATGCTAGGGATCAAAATTATTCTATAAAGTACCTTAAAATACTTAAAGCAGTCAGTATTTTCTTTCACAGAATTAAAAAGTTAGGAAGAAATAAATTTCTGTTCTCATAGAAAACTTAGGGGAAAAAATGTTCTTCCTTTGAATCAATTGAATTGTTTGGGTTTGAGGCATGGGTTAATATTTCTTTTTTGTCTTTTTCCCTCTGGAGAGAGGGAAGAAGTGAAAGAATAATCTAGACAAATAACTTCTAGCTACAAATGATCTAAAAACATATGACTATCTCCGAGAAATACAAACTTAACTGCTTGATACAGGTTTATAGCAAAATTCATCTCACTTTCAGACAAAAGAGCTGCTTTTTAAGTCAGCTTCCACATTTGCTTTCATAGTTATCTTGGAATTGTTAAAATGTTTATGGACTTGTAGTCACTTCCATAACTGTGAAACCAATTTTGTAGACAGAGATTGGGCCAAGGCAAAAACATGTAATTTTTCATTACAAAAAGCTGTTTTCAGCTGTTTCCTAAATTGAAATAATGTACTATGTGTCCTTGTGTCCTACTATCAACTTTTATCACAATTTTCTTTAATAAATCCTGCAACAGCACCAGAATAATCCAAATGAAATGTTTCCACTGGCATCTAGCGGTATACAGTGGTGTAGTGGAAGGCCTGCTGACCTGGAAGTCAGATGAGCTGAATTCCTTTGCTGCCTCCCTGGAATGTGGAGTATCACTTTAACGAGAAAGGTCTGGGCTGCCATGTCCTCCTGTGTGATGGGAAGATTACATTTTTCTTGCTTAAAGACCTTTTGGCAGACTTACTCACCAGCCTACCCATCAGATTTCAGTGGGAAACTTTTTCTTTTCCCAAAAAATGCATACATTTCTATCAGCCACTACCACCCAATAGGCACATTCAGGACCTATTTTAGGGATTTACTATTGGAATAAACAGCCCGAGAATGTTTCTTATTAGAGAATAATTGTAAAGAAAGTACATTATTTAATCAGGTTCTCAAATCAGGGATAGTTGACCAGCAGAAAGATGGAAGTCACTAGCTCTGGGACATCTGTTAGACACTTCCCTTTAGCCCTACTGAAAATTTTGTACAGACATTTTGAATTCTATCCCTCTCCTTTCTTAGTCTTTGCGTTGACTCCTGTTTAAAAAGCTTAATATTTTAAAATGAAAGTTGTCATTTTAAATGGGCATTAGTAAAATGTATATGCATTCTGGAAAACAATGTTAGTTTACTTAGACATTTATACTCTGCACGCTCCAAAGATCTACAGTTCATTTACAGCTAAAGCATGGACAGTGTTAGCTTTTGAGAACTGAAATGGCTCTGGGTTCTCAAATGTTCAGTCAAAAATGACAAGTGTAGTGATTGATATTGGACAATGGTTATAGTTGTTTATCCTTCTCCAAAAGGCAAGTTATTCATATCTTATTTGGCCTTCTCAGCCTCTTTCCCTACTGAGGTCAACTGAGAGCTGTGCATTAAATGTCAAGTATGTATGCAAAGTGTGTTATTATAACAAAAAAAAGTTATAAAATAGAAAAATTTGCATTCCAGTTGGGAAGCCAAGACATGTGTACCAGAAATATGAGTGATAAATGTCAGTACATATTAGCCATCAAATAATGTTCACATAGAAAGTACTCAGAGTTCATCTACATTCAAGCCTTCTGAGGAAAGTAGGACCTTGGCTGTAAATGGAAGAACACACAGCGTATCTGTTTAGCCCAAGTATAGTTAATATAGTCTGTCAATGAGGGTTTTCTGGGTCAAGTCTTGGGATGGTGTGT